GATCTCCGGCCACCGTAAGCGCGGGCCTGCGGACGGCGAGCATGGGTGGCTCCCCGTCCGACCAGAAACAGACCCGAGCGTACGGCGCGTCGCGTTCCGCGCGCGCCTCAAAGAGCCATCAGACCACCACAGATGGGGCCCAATAGGGCCGATGCCGATTCGGAGTCGCGGAGAACCTAACGGGTAACCGGGGCTCCGGCTCGACGTGCAGGAGAAGGAACGGGGTGGTTTTTAGTCAGTAAGAGTCTGACACTCCCTTCCGCCTCACCCAGGCGGAAGCAGTCATTCGATGATTTTCCCCCCTTAAAAAAAAAAAAAAAAAATGCCCCTGGTGACGATATACTTACGTAAAGTGGCTGGTAGTGGTTGGATGCGTAGAGCTGAAGACCGAGCTCAGTGGCGTGCCATTGGAGAGGCTTAAGTACAGCAGTGGACGAAAACAGGCTGTTGATGATGACTTATTTCGGACTTTAATAGACTAGCTCTGTACCTAGCATTAATAGGCTAGTTTCCTTTATTTTATCCGTCCGTCTGGTAGATTAATTTCAAACATTAGACACGTATTTTTTCTTTTCTCACAACATTCAATGCTTTCGACGATATTTGATTTGAAATGGCGTGTGACGTCACAGTGTGCAACAAAATGTAGCACGTTGTGACGTAACGACCTCCCACTCCTAAACTTAACTCCATTTTATCTAAGTATTGTAACTTTATACGAGAAAATAAAAAATACGTGTCTAATATTTTTTCATTATCTAACTGTGGACTAATTAGATTTTTAATTTCTTATCCTGTAAACTACTCAATTGTTCAACGCCTTTTACGACGTAATCCCAGAAGATGTAAACGGGTCTCTTGATTAAAATAGCTCTAATTAAATATCTGTTTTATTATTTTGCGTTACTCACACAAAATCTGCAGCGAAACAATTAAAATGCCATAACAATTTATTATGTCAATTTATTGTTTGTGTCAACTTACAATAATTACTCTAATGACCAAATTTGTTATTCAAATATATAGTTTCTTTTTTATTAATTTTGTTTCTGAATTGTATTAATTTGTATTTCTTGTATTTGATTACCTAATTAGTTTGTTTTTAAGTACCTAAATGATAGCATTTATATAAGATTAACAGTATAACTTAATGGCGTAAGCTGTAGTGTTGTATATGTAAATTTTTCTAAAATAAATATATAATTATGTTCTTTACAAAATGTTCTAAATTTTCAGGGCAAGTCGACAAAAATCATCAGACCTATAGTGACGAACAGCTCGAACAGCTTCTGGAGCATGTGTTGAAACACACAGACTTAAACAAAGATGGATACGTCGACTACTTGGAGTACAGAGTCAGTAACTACAAAGCTAAACGTGGTGAGAAACAGAAGGAGGAGATGGGGGGCAGATAGAGAATTCAATTTTATAAAAAGTAGTTAATGTACTGGTATACCTTTATACAAGGTGTTGTTATAAAGCCGCGTCATTTTCTAGGAGGTAACTCGGCTATCGATTCTGAGTCTAAATCAATAAAAAAATTGTAGGTAAATATTTTTTCATTTTTCTGAAATTACGGAAATCCGTAAGTACGAACTACACGCCGTCGTCTTGTAACTAGCTTTATAACGCGGCTTAACACACAAACTCAAACACGTAATTGATATTATTCCTAATTCCATAAAACTCCAAGAAGAAACATTGCTGTCGCTTATTCTGAAATACTGTCGAACTTAAACGATTTGTTATAGCCGTATTTTTAACTATTGGCCCGAAATTTTCTCTTACATTGAACCTTTATGACTTCTGTGACATGCCCCCGAGAAATGACACGGTTTCAAAACTACACCTTGTATATACGTACATTTATCAACCTCGTTTTTTAAAATTAAAAAATTGTTATTAAAAACTTCGTTTAAAACCTACTGTAACATTTCTCTGCATCACCCTATGGTTGGCTGGTAGAGAATGCCATTCGGCATTAAGTCTGCCATTGTATACATTTGTACAAAAAGTGTTAAATAAAATAAGAAAAATAAAACAGGCAGTGCTTAGGTAGCCGTTAACAGTCAAAGGTATTAACAGTCAAAAGTCATTCAAGAAAAAACGTATTCTTTTTTAAAACGCCGGCAACGCACCTGTGACTCCTCTGGTGTTACGGGTGTCCATGGGCGGCGCTGATCGCTTACCATCAGGTGATCCGTCTGCTCGTTTGCATCCTATTCCATAAAGGTAAGTCAATAACATAGAGATAAAAGTCATTAAAAGTGAACAAAAGTAAAAAATCAGTACTTAGCCAATAGGTATTTTTATTGCAATATTCATAGTTTTACGGTTTGGGTAAATATTTTTTTAGTATTTATTTTAAACTAGCTTCTGCCCGCGACTTCGTGCGCGCAATTCCGTTTTCTCCCGTTTCCGTAGGATTTTCAGATTGTTTTTCTGTCATATAAATGTCAAACCTTCTCCTGACAATAACAAACACAACAAAAAAATCAGCCAAATCGGTCTAGCCGTTCTCAAGTTATGGCGTGACAACGGGAAACGGGTTTCATTTTTATATATATAGATAAATTGTGAGAAGAAATTACAGTACAATATCTATTTATATTTTTTTTTACAAAAATAAATTCTTTTATAATCAGTTTGTTTTTTATTTCACTATTCAATTTCAGGTTATTAGCAAATTAATTCTTTGGTAAGTACTTAAAGCTTTCTGCTTATTATAAATTAACTGTGCCCGCGACTTCGTTCGCGTGAAATAATGATTACTGCGCTTACCCCGTGATAGCGGGATAATATATAGCCTATATGTTGACCCGATCATACAAAATTTGAAGTATATCCAGTACTTTTTGAGATCATCCCGAACATACATACAGACATTACAGACAAACAGACAAAAAATCTAGAAATCATATTTTTGGCTTCAGTATCGAATGTAGATTACGCCCTAAGTATTCTTTTAAAAAAATATTCAATGTACAGTTTTGACTTTTCTACTATTTTATTATACAGTGTGATTTGTAACTCAACGTATTCCTCTCGGGAGGTGATAATTCAACTAATTTCTAACAAAATTAGCCCTGAGGTCTCTGGTCCGAAAATGGCTAATATCTGAGATATTCAACATTTTCGGTTTTGGTGAAAAAATCCCGAACGAATTACAAAAACATCAATAAATAAAAAACTACTGGTTTGATTTAAGTGATTTTAGTTTTAATTTGTTGTCAATACATCAATAAACATTTATTAATACTAATCTACTATATAAAAATAAGTCGGGTTTTCCTTCCTGACACTATAACTCCAGAACGCACGAACTGATTTCCACAGTTTTGCATTCGTTGGAAAGGTATCGGGCTCCGTGAGGTTTATAGCAAAGAAAAATCAAGATTTTTTTAAAAATATTTTTCTTCATCCTTTAATCACCAAACGAAATGTTACATAAAACGAAGCCATCTGGTGGCGAAACAGAGTTCGCCGGGTTTGCTAGTACTGGCATAAATATCATTCGTTTTAAAATAGCAAGTAAATTAGTATCACATTTTGTTTTGTGTCACTAATTTGGTCAATAGAAAACTAAGAATTTAGCTTAACAAATTAATATTACAACACGCGTACAAACGATTAGAAAAACTTGCTAGATTTCGGACTTCCGGACCAGAGACCTCAAGACTAATTTTGTAGGAAATTAGTTGTATTATCACCTCCCGAGAGGAATACGTCGAGTTACAAGTCACCCTGTATATATAATTTTTTTAATGTTAAATTCGCTTCCAATCAGCACGCGGTGTATGTGCCAGTTTATAGTAGGAGGCCTTTATTTGAGGGGGGAAAATCATCCAATGACTTCTCCCGCCTTGGGTCAGACTCTTATGCCGGAATACTGAAACGTTACTCAATTTTAAGTCGTGCTTAAATATCGTGCCATCTCTGTCATTTCACAAAGAATTAGTGGTGACAGAATTATACTTCAGCGCGACTTATAATTGAGTAGCGTTTCAGTATTCCGGCATTACTCACTAAAAACAAACCCCATTCCTACTCCTGTTTTGAGCCGTAATAACTGGGATGATGACAGGGTATGAAAATTAAAAAAAAACTAATTAGTCCGTCAGTTAGGTCATAAAAAAATATTAGACACGTATTATTTTATTTTGTCGTCTAATAAAACAATACTAAGATAAAACGAATCAAAGTTTCGGAGTGGGGGCTAAAACGACATTTCTACGTCTAAAATGTCCATAGAAGTGACGTCACGCGACATCTCAAATCAATATATCGTCGAAAGTACTCGTTTCTGTAAGAAAATAAAAAATACGTGTCTAATGATTTAAAATAATCTACCAGACGGACATTAAAATAAAAATTAGTAGGGTTACTGGAGCCGGAATACATGGATTTTGCTCGTTCTTCTCCTATCGAAACTACACTCTGGAACAAGCATCTCTTTTCACTGAGGGACAGACGGATGGACAATTCAATTGTTGACCTTTCAAAAGTGCCTGAGTAAAGATTAATTGAAATCAATAATTTGACTTAAACCCGTTAGGTAGTCCGTAGCTCCAGGTTTTGAAGAAGGCCTAAGATTAACGATGCAAGTCTTAGGGCTGATATGGTGCAGGATCGACATTGTTAAAAGTTGAAAACTTACACTTGGGAGCCAAGAGAGGGAGCCACTAGCATTTTTCCTTTTCATTCATCCAAGTCCAGTCATCACGCCTTTTATCACCGAAGGGTTAGGCAGAGGTGCACATTACGGCACTTAATGCCACTGTACAATGTAACACTCTCTTTTCATTTTATGTTATGAGTCCCATGTAAAAGGGGGTGAGCCTATTGCCATAAACCAGGTACATTTCCAGACTACTACTGAGATTTTTTGAAAAACCCAGTAATACTTTCTTCTTTGTTCCCAAGTGTAGGTATGTCATATCCGCAGGAAAAGATGCTTTATTCCCTTTATACTTAAATTCTTTTTCATATTTCTGTTACAGAAGGTGGACAAGGTACAGGAATGGTTTACAAGGATTCTGATTTGGAAGAAATGGTAGAAGGAGCTTTGAAACAGACGGACAAGAATAATGATGGCTTTATAGAATATTCTGAGTTCAGAGCCGCCACTGAGCCTACTGCTCAATAGAGTAAATTGTAAATAACACTATTTTCAATATAAAGTATCCACAAAAGCCATAATAATTACAAAGAAAAATGGCGTCGACTGAAATTTCTATTTTTATAAGTCTACCATAAATTTAAATACGTAAAAACGGGAACCAAATAAAATAAAAGAATTTATTTACTGAATATAATTTAAATTATTTTACTAAAATTCTCCTACAGCGTGATACATGTCACACAGCTTGCTACGCGCAGTAGTTACAGCTGTGTACAGTCTGTCACTCTCTCAGCACTCCCCTACACTCCTACAGCGCGCTACATGTCACACAGCTTGCTACGCGCAGTAGTTACAGCTGTGTACAGTCTATCACTGTCTCATCACTCCCCTACACTCCTACAGCGCGCTACATGTCACACAGCTAGCTACGCGCAGTAGTTACAGCTGTGTACAGTCTGTCACTCTCTCTGCACTCCCCTACACTCCTACAGCGCGCTACATGTCACACAGCTTGCTACGCGCAGTAGTTACAGCTGTGTACAGTCTATCACTGTCTCATCACTCCCCTACACTCCTACAGCGCGCTACATGTCACACAGCTTGCTACGCGCAGTAGTTACAGCTGTGTACAGTCTATCACTGTCTCATCACTCCCCTACACTCCTACAGCGCGCTACATGTCACACAGCTTGCTACGCGCAGTAGTTACAGCTGTGTACAGTCTATCACTGTCTCATCACTCCCCTACACTCCTACAGCGCGCTACATGTCACACAGCTTGCTACGCGCAGTAGTTACAGCTGTGTACAGTCTGTCACTCTCTCGTCACTCCCCTACACTCCTACAGCGCGCTACATGTCACACAGCTTGCTACACGCAGTAGTTACAGCTGTGTACAGTCTGTCACTCTTTCAGCACTCCTCTACACTCCTACAGCGCGCTACATGTCACACAGCTTGCTACGCGCAGTAGTTACAGCTGTGTACAGTCTTTCACTCTCTCGTCACTCCCCTACACTCCTACAGCGCGCGACATGTCACACAGCTTGCTACGCGCAGTAGTTACAGCTGTGTACAGTCTGTCACTCTTTCAGCACTCCCCTATACTCCTATAGCTCGCTACATGTCACACAGCTTGCTACGCGCAGTAGTTAAAGCTGTGTCTCTGGTGTTTCGAGTGTGTATGGGCGACGCCAATTGCTTACCATCAGGTGATCCGTAGGCTCGTTTACTCGACATTTGTCCCTTAGTGCATCCTTAGCTTTAGGTAGTCAGGTAAGTATAAATTAAAAACTCTTTTCACAAAAAATATAATTTATTTCTTAAAATTAATTTGGCATTAAGTCATTCCTAATTGTTGTCAAAATTAGTAACTTTATGTACATACAATACCATATACACATAACTAATATTTATTACACAATTTGTTTGTCTGTAGAATGGTTTTAAAGACATACCTATTTGATAAATTAACTTAATTAAACTGTTTTTAAATAACATGGTCTAATCTACATTCAATCACTTACATATTGTGAAAAGAAATCTTAAACATAATAAAATATTTAATAACTGGAACAATCATAAATTGCTCGTTGCTTTGCCTCGCTGGCCGAGTGGTTGCAAGTGCGACTGCCGGGCAAGGGGTCTCGGGTTCGAATCCCGGGTCGGGCAAAGTATTACTGGGTTTTTAAACATCTCAGTAGTAGCACGGAGTCTGGAAATGTGCCCGGTATATGGCAATAGGCTCACCCCCTATTACATTGGACTCATAACATAAATAGTGAAAAGTGGTGATTGACGGACAAACATCCAAACATACAAACAGATAAACTTTTTCATTTATAATATTAGTGTGATTTAAATTACGAGAAGTAAACTACTTCACCTAAAAGTGACATCACTGGTTAACTATGTCAACTTCTTTTTAATGGCAGCTGTCGGATATAAATAAGAGATGGCGCTAGTGCGCTCTAAAGATTTCTCTATAATTCTCAACATTGTTTATGGCAGAAATTTGTCGGTATAAACTGCGTAGGAGTAGCTAGTGACCTATAAGATGTCTTACACACACTAGCACGCTCTACGATCAAAATAAGACGTATACACTTTTATTTACTAGTCTAAAAAGGCATTTTAAAATTTCAATAGTTAATAAAATCACCAATCTAATGGGTTTTGAAGAGCTTCTCTAAAAGGTATGCTATTTTCGCTATAGAATTGGGCGAACCAATTTCTGAAAGCTCTAATAGTCTTGTCCGTTTTGACATATGCTGGCGCGGACACGAAGCGCTTACTGTTCCAAATTACTATGTCTCGTTCAAACTGGAACAAAAGAAAAATAGGATTAAAATTCTTCGTTGATAGTACATTAGTAAGTCGGTATATCTTGGCAAATAAGAGTTTGATATGGTCACAGCTAGAACTAATATTGACTTGGACTGAATCACCCACTTCGGATCATATCCCATGAATAAACAATCATCCGAAAACAGTACCTCCTCTTTTTAAATTCGATAGAAATAACAAATATCAAAACTGATTGAGTCGTAGTGTACCAGGTTGCCACAGATACTAGCGACATCTATTATGACAGACTCATTGTTGCCAAGCTGTAAGTAAGGGTTTTTAGTTTTATATTCAGTGTCGTAAGAAACTTTAACTTTTGAATACATTTTTATTCATTGTAACTAGCTTTGCCCGCAACTTGGTCCGCGTGCAATAGTGATTCACAGCTCCTCCCTCGTAGGCGATAGCATGATATTAGTAGTCTATGTGTTGACCCTACCCTATTAGTAAAATTCATGCAAAAGTTGAAGTATTGTAAATCAATGCAGTACTTTTTGAGTTTAGCCCGGACATACGTACAGACAAACAGACAAAAATTCTAAAAACTATATTTTTAGCTTCCATTCCATATCGATTGTAGATCACACCCCAAGCATTCTTTTATAAAAATATTCAATATACAGATTTCACTTCTTATGTACCTATGTATAACTGCCTCGTTGGAAGAATGATTACAAATTCGACCTTAATAGCATGGAATCTGGAATTGCGCTCAGTGAACAAGATTACCATCTTTTAAATGGGACTCATAGCATAACTGGGGGAAAGTGAGTGTTGCATTGTATAATGTGTATAACCTTCGTACGTCTTTAGTAAAGGCTCTTTACCTATGATATTGCCGTTCTGCAGTACTAGCCATTTCAAATAAAAATAATTGTTGTTTGGCTAAGAATTCTAAGTTCAAATTAATCGTATTTTAAAATCATGATTTTTTTTCCAAAAGATTTCATTTGTTTTTTTTTTGTCATTATGAACACGTTCAAAAATCGAATTAGTGTGGAATTACTCACCATAGCGCCCTCTGCCTTAACCGACAGTGCAGCGAAGGGAGCGTTGTAAGTAGGCGAAAACATGCGATGTATGACTTTTTGTAGATTTGGTCCCAACGGAGTGACTGACTGGGAGACTAAGATAGGTCCCACTGGAGTGCTTAGGAATAGACGTACGTGGCCCGGTCCAATCTGTGAAGGAAACAAATATTATTTAGACTGCCTCGTCACAAGTGCGACTGCCAAGTAAGGGATTCTGTATTACTGGGTTTTTAAACAATCGCAGTAGTAGCACAGAGTCTGGAATTGTGACCGGTATATGACAATATGCTCATCCCCTATTACATGGGACTAGACTAAGGGTAGCCGGTTTCCCAGCCACCACGCCAACCGTTCAGTTAAAGTTGAATAAACAAAAGAGGATTATTATCTTAATGTTAATTTAGTAGACTGCCTCGTTGGCCGAGTGGTCGCTAGTGCGACTGCCAGGCAAAGGGTCTCTGGTACGATTCCCGGATCGGGCAGAGTATAACTGGGTTTTTAAAAAAATCTCAATAGTAGCACGGAGTGGAAATGTGCCCGGTATATGGCAATATGCTCACCCCCTTTTACATGGGACTCATAACATAAATAGTGAAAAGTGGATGTTACATTGTACAGTGCCATAATGTGCACCCCTGCCTACCCCTTGGGGGATAAAAGGCGTGATGTTATTTTAGTTGACTTTTAATATCAATTCTGGTATCCAGGAGTGGCAATGCATAGAAATGCTTAATACAAAATATGTAGTTCAAAACTAACCTGTGTAACTTTAACATCAACATGTCCTAGGTCGCACTTCATGATTTTGTAATCGTGCGTCAGTGTCATGGTGGCTGTGTGATCCTCATTCCTTGTCCAAGTAGCTGACCACACGTGGCATCCTGTAATATAGGAGAAGGCAATATAATATATTATTGAATTTTTATGTACTTAAATATTTCTTTTATAAACTACATTTAAATAAACCATGTAAATATTATTTAAGTAAAGATATCAACTTTAAATTTGTAAACCTAAAAATAAAAAAAAACCTACCTAACCTAACTCATAAAATTATTACCTAAGTGTTATCTCTTTTTATACCCATTAACAAAAAAGGAAAAAAGGCTTTTCTATTTTTATTTTATTATATTTAAAGAAACCAACTACAACCCCCTCTTTTTTAGAAGTCGGTTGATTAAAATACTCAAACTTTCTCCTATGTATAACAAATACTTTACTGAAAACTGCATCAAAATCGGTCACTAAATCACGCAATAATTGCGCACAAAGATATACACACAGACATACATACAGGTCAAATTGAGACCTTTTTTCAAGTCGGTTAAAAATGAGTGTGTGAAACAAAGGCGGGTAATGTTTTACATAATTTTTAATGCACCTGCCGGACTATGCTCTTCACCCTGCTCATCGCTATGCTCCCCGCGCAGACGTGATTTGTTCAGGTAACTAGACTTGTTTCAAGTAAGCGAGGAGCGCGTAGTTTTTAAGTGACAACGGACGAGCCGGGCGAGCGTCGCACAGCCCTTGATCCCAACTCCTTGATCTTATGCGCCTGCCACATACTCGACGGTGGTATGGGAAGAAACGAGTAATAGAGGCAGAGACACAATGTGGCAACATTACTCGTCCTGCGACACGTTACGCACCTCGTCTTGTCCACTGCTCCCTATTTTGTCGGATATTGCGTGCGACTCAAAGGGACCGGCAATACGAGGAGGCAATGAGGACCGACAATAGGAGCGTCGCAATTAATTGCGCGAGTAGAGCAGTGTGTAGGCAGAGAGGGCAACATCGCGGCACATCACGGCATTGCGATGAGCAGCGCAAGAACTGTGGTCCTGCATAGTCTGGCAGGCGCACAAAATATATTTTTTTATGGAATAGGAGGCAAACGAGCAGACGGGACACCTGATGGTAAGCGATCAGCGCCGCCCATGTACACCCGCAACACCAGAGGTGTCACAGGAGCGTTGTCGGCCTTTTAAAAAGGAATATGCTCTTTTTTTGAAGGTTTGAAGGTCGTATCGGTTCGGAAATACCGCCGACGACAGATTATTCCGTATACGACGATAGTTTTGCTGTGCGAGGCAGAAAGCTAACTGAGAGGGCGCACAGTTGTGGCCTGCCAACCATTTATATGATGAGGATGCATATGCTGTCATGAGGGTCGATGGCGAAAAGATGCGGCAGGTATTAGAAACAATTCCTCAGAGCACTCCCCATGGTATAAGCGATAGAAAATGCACAACGAAGCTACATCTCTACGCGTTGTCAAAATGTCTAGCCGAAGAAATAATTACATACTTGACAATTTTTAGTATCAACTTACCTATTAAATCATTTAGTAGTGGATATTTCTCTCCTAAGCCGGACAGCAGGGACATAGTATGTACAGCGTTTAAATGGGCAACGTCAGCACCGTTTTCAGGAATTTCCTGTAAAAAATAAAACAAGTAAATATTAATTAAAACTTAAATCCACTGAGCCTATCGATCGACATTGGTATTGTGAAATTTCGTACTCTCGATTTGTAATACTAGCGCCCATTGCATCCGTATTGCGCGGATATTGAATGAACTAAATGGTATTGAATTTAGCTTTATATTCCGTAGTCTGAATGCTACTTTAACAGCTACGATAGAGGTTGTATAGTTTTGACATTGAATAATTGAGATTTTATTGGATTGAAATTGCATTGACATTGAGATTGGTTTTAAGGGTGAGCACCCTGGCCCGAGCGTACGGCGCGTCGCGTTCCGCGCACGCCTCAAGGAGCCATTAGAACACCGCAGATGGGGCCCAACAGGGCTGATGCCCATATAGAGCCGCGGAAGACTAAACGGGCTGCCGGGGCTCAGTAAGAGTTTGACCCTTTCGCCTCACCTGGGCGTAAGAAGTCATCGGATGATAATGCTCAAAAAAAAAAAAAAAATATTCCCCCATAAAAAAAAACTTTAAAAATAACTTACTTGAATATGAGCGCTGACAACGTATTCGTTTCTTCCTCGGTATCCCCAACTTTTGAGTTCAGGTAGCTCAGGAACTATCCACAATGGATCCCTTCCTTCAGCATCATACCAGATCCACACTGCGCCGTCTCTTTCAACGGTCGTCCAATGTTTTATGGAAACTCCTTTTGGTGCTGTGAAAAAAGTGTGATTCGATAAAAAAAAATAAACTTTTTTTATAGGATAAACTGGTACACGAGCAGACGGATCACCTGATGATAATCAATCGGCGCCGTGGACGCTCGAAACATTAGAGGCGTTACAAGTGAGTTACCGGCCTTTTGGGGATTAGGATTGAGGATTGTTGGGGATTCGGGGATTGGGGAGATTGGTAAAACCAGAACCAGACTCGAGCGTATGGCGTGTTGTGTTCCGTGCACGCGTCAACAACTTAAAGTATTTTTTGTTTATTTTTTTTACACTTGATAGGTCGACGTTTGGCAACCATCTCGCCTGATGGTAAGCGATGATGTGGCCGATGATGGAGCACGTCTACCTATTTACCCATATTAGAGAAGAAATGATTTGATTTGAAAATAAAAACCCTCGTTGGCCGAGTGGTCGCAAGTGCGACTACCGGGCAAGAGGTCTCGGGTTCGATTGCCGGGTCGGGTAAAGTATTACTAGGTTTTAAAAAAAATCTCAGTAGTAGCACGGAGTCTGGAAACGTGGCCGGTATATGGCAATAGGCTCACCCCCTATTACATGGGACTCATAACATAAAGAGTGAAAAGTGGGTGTTACTTCTCTGTGCACCTCTGCCTACCCCTTCGGGGATAAAAGGCGTGATGTTATGTTATGTAAAAACCCTCAAAAATAATATAATCATTTACAAACCATGTTCAACTCCTGGAACACTGACGCAGGCGCCATTCTCCCCGAACCTCCATTTATGGAAGGGGCATTCGATACAGGAGCCGCTGACGGTGCCTGCGATACCCAGGTTAGCTCCTAGATGTGGACAGTACGCGTCCACAACGCGCGCCACGCCGTCTTCGCCACGGTAGATGCAGAGGTTTTGGCCTGAGAAAGATAATAGGCTAATTAGAACCGATTTTTCCAAAGCCTTGATTTCAAAGGAATTATTTTTCAAAGGAATAATTTTGAATATTTGACAAATTCTTCTATGCTAAAAACTGTCAAGACTCAATTTTATTCTATAGTTAAGAATCTATGTGGATTAAAAAAACAGTCCTATAATACATTTTGTAATGTTCCATTTAGAGTTCGTTTAGCACAGTGCTTAACACAAATCACAGGAAAAAATAATTAGTTTTCTTAAGCTTCTGGAATTCAAAAATAGATGTCGCTGTTTATCTTTGTATCTTATTTTTAACGTCCCGTGAGAGTCTACGTTGTACTGTATGATTTCTGTACATAAATGACGTATCTCCCGGCAGAGTTAATCATTTATTTTATTTATTTCTTCTTCACAAAACACAGCTAGCTGGCAGACAATTATAATCCGTTTCATATTAATATGTAGCAAACCATTCAAGTAGTTTTGTTTTCTTAGTGGGTACTTTCCATGAATTAATAATAGCTTCGACTACTCGACAACAGATGGCGCAAATCCTAAACCCAAAAACTTTCACTACTGGACAACAGATGTCGCTACTCACCAAGTGCATCGATCGAAAGAACTCCTCCATTCTTTAGTTCTCGACTTTCGGCAACTGCAAACCATCCATTCGGAAATGGTGGTGGAGTCTTACTGCCTATTTTCTTAGCAGTTTGAGCTCTAGATATGATTCTGTCTCTATCAGGCCCAGGGGGAATGTGTTCGAATCCTATTTCTGTGAATTCCTGAGAAAACAAATAGTATTTTTGTTATATAGATGAAAGAATGTTATTTGTTCGTTTAATTATGTTAAGGACATTGATCAAATTTTTGTGTATGGGATCTCGGGTCCGATGACCCGATTAGAGTTTTGTGTTTTTCGATTTTTTTAAGAGTGGGAGAGCCATGCTTCGGCACGAATGGGCCAGCTCGACCGGAATTATACCACGGCCTCACAGAAAACCGATGTGAAATAACGCTTGCGTTGTGTTTCGTCGTGTGAGTGTATAGTTATTGGAGGTCCAATTATAATCCTCAAATTCCTAATCCCCAAAAGGCCGATAGCGCTTCTAGTGTACCGGGTGCCCATGGGCGACGGCGATTGCTTACCATCAGTATAAAAAACTGTGTTAAGTATATTGCTTACCTCATTGATTAAGCAGTTGTGCATGGTATTTCGGGGCCGATTGACCCGATTTGAGACTTATGTTTTTCGATTTTACAGAACTTAATATGGTTTTTAATACCTAAAACCTAGTAAGTACCGACCTAAGGACTATAGTGGAGTAGTGGTTTTGCTAAGGGTACGACATTAGGCTCTCCCCTAATACATGGGACTCACAACTGGTGAAATGGGGATGTAACATTATAGTTAGGTTAGGTGAGACCTATTATCTGTATCTCTACTACCTCCATCGGGAAAAGGGTAGCAGACAGTGTATGAAAATTAATAATCTAATTAGTCCGTCAGTTAGATAATGAAAAAATATGAGATACGTATTTTTTTATTTTTTCATATAAAAAATTACAATTACTTTGATAAAATGGCTTTAAGTTTAAGAGTGGGAGGTCGTTCGTCACAAAATGCTACGAAATATAGCACGCTGTGACGTCACACGATATTTCAAATTAATATATCGTCGTAATGTTTTAAATTAATCTACCAGACGGACATTAAAATAAAATCTATGAAATTACTGTATAAAATATGGTGAGACGTTATAACGAGTAGAAAAAACAGACACAATGCAGAAACTTACCTTTTTAAAAATTATAGGATTGACATAACTTCTATACAGAATTAGCAGCAAGAAATATAAAGCAACAGCCAATAGAATGTAAGAACTGTAATCGTATATTAATTCCAATACTGTCAAAGTGAACGCAAATGTCAAATTCAAATACGAAACAATCATTTCTTTGACATGTTGCTTTGTATATCCGTTCTGACAGTCACCATGTAGGTATTTGTCCACAACGCCATCTGTCATTTGTGAACAGGACTCCATCTTGGAATTTTGTAGTCTTCTAAAATGGCGGCGTGTGTTTGCATCTGTAAAGAAGACAAGCTTTCGTTAACAGTGGATTATTGAATTTAACTATTAATGTTTTAAGTGTGGGAAAGCCATGCTTCGGCCACGAATGGGCCGACTCGACCGGAGTGATACCACGGCCTCGCAGAAAACCGACAACGCTTGCGTTGTGTTTCGTCGTGTGAGTGAGGTTACCGGAGGCCCAATTACCCCTCCTAGTCTCGAATCCCCGAATCCCGAATCCTCCACAATCCTCAAATTCCCAATTCCCAAAAGGCCGGTAACGCACTTGTAACGCCTTGGTGTTTCGGGTGTCCATGGGCGGCGCCGATTGCATACCATCAGGTGATCCGTCTGCTCGTTTACCGGATTACGCAATAAAAAAAAACTTGTAAATAACTAAAAACTAAAATATTTACACCTTAAAATTGCCATACAAAAAGGTCAGCTTAACCTCTTGACTGCCTGTATATGAGACACAATCTATCTATCTATATATATATATATATATATTATATTACATATAATAAAATTGTAGAAAAGTGCTGTCTGTACATTGAAAATAAAAATAAAAAAATAGCAGAGGTTATTGTTATGTCGATGTCGAACCCAAAAATGTAATTAACTTTTTTTTTGTCTGTTTGTCTGTTCACCCTAATCTCAGAAACGGCTGATCCGAGTTGGATGTGGTTTTCACGAATATATTGTGGTATGCTTCAGTTATGCTTTAGTGTTTGTTTCATGTCCATCGGTTCATAAATAAAAAAGTTATGTCAAATTAAAGAATCACGTCGAACACTACCTATTATATGCTTATACATACAAAATGACTGTGATTATGATCCAAAATAAAAATAAGTATATATTTAAAAAAAAACGTTGCTCATAGTCACTATTCCACGCGAACGAAGTCGCGGGCACAGCTAGTAGGAAATACGTTGTGTCTCGCGTAGATCTACGTTCGCATACCACGGGTTAAGGCATCAAAAAATTAGCTAAGGAGGAGGCGGGACGCGTGAGGCAGCGAAGCGCTGCCTCCTCGCAACCCAGCCATCGCGAAGGACACACCGGGCGTCGGGGATCGCGGGACGATCTCCGGCCACCGTAAGCGCGGGCCTGCGGACGGCGAGCATGGGTGGCTCCCCGTCCGACCAGAAACAGACCCGAGCGTACGGCGCGTCGCGTTCCGCGCGCGCCTCAAAGAGCCATCAGACCACCACAGATGGGGCCCAATAGGGCCGATGCCGATTCGGAGTCGCGGAGAACCTAACGGATAACCGGGGCTCCGGCTCGACGTGCTGTAGAAGTAACGGGGTGGTTTTTAGTCAGTAAGAGTCTGACACTCCCTTCCGCCTCAGCCAGGCGGGAGCAGTCATTCGATGATTTCCCCCCCTTAAAAAAAAAAGGCATCAAAAAATCGCGGGTTACTCACGTGATTAAACTAGAATAGAAAAGTTCTACTGGTTTCGATCCACAGAGGAGTTCTTCCTCATGAGTAGTGACACCGATGCGGGCACCGACGCTAGGCAGCAGGCGTGATATCGCCGCGACCACGCACATTGCTCATGAGGAAGAACCCCTATGCGGTTCGAAACTAGTAGAGCTTTTCTATTCTAGTATTTCTAATATATTTAAGTGAGTAACCCGCGGTTTTTGGTTAAAAAAATTTGTTGTAGTTTATTCATTATTTAAGAAAGGAGAGCAGTGCTCTGAGTACCATGGTCTTACAGAACTCCGGCGTGAAACAACGCTCGCGTTGTTTTTCTCCTAAACGGCCAACATTTTTACAATTACTTAAGTATAGAGAATTTAATTTTATCCTTATTATACAACGGCATTAAATAATAGCAAATAGTTTTATTACCAATTATCTATACGTATAAATTTATTTAGACATGCCACAGTTTCTCTACGGTAGCATTAGATATATAATAGTATCTACATTTTTATGGTTCATGCTTAAATAGATTAAAATGATTAGGTAACAATAACAACCCATGAAGTGTGGGAGAGCCATGCTTCGGTACGAATGGGCCGGCTCGACCGGAGTGATACCACGGCCAAGCAGAAAACTGACGTTATACAAAGAAAGAAAGAAAGAAAGAACATTCATTTAGCACCAGGCACGATGCAGCATAAATAAAATATAAAAAAGACAATAAAGGTGTGACAGTGGAATGAATAAAAACATAAGAGTTGAAAAATAAAACAGAAGAATTAGAAGAGAGACGCTGACAACATGCCTATATTAACGACGCTTGCGGTATGTTCCGTCCTGTGATTGAGTTTACCGGAGGCCTCCGGAGGAGTAATGCCTCTGGTGTTCCGGGTGTCCATGGGCGACGCCGATTGCTTACCATCAGGTGATCCGTCTGCTCGTTTACCGGCCTATTCCGTAAAAAATGTACAACATAAATTGCTGTGGTTTATTAATAATGCCTTGGTATCGAAAGGCAATCCCTTCTACAGCATTGAAAGACGCGCCACCCGAAACACTAGGGGCGTCACAAGTGCGTTACCGGTGTTTTGTGGATTAGGAATTTGAGGATTATTGGGGATTCGAGGATTTAGGAGATTGGGAAGGGGTTAATTGGGCCTCCGGTAACCTCACTCATACGGCGAATCACAGCGCAAGTGTCGTTTCACTCCGGTCGAACCGGCCCATTCTTACCAAAGCATGGTTCTTCCACACTTGTGTTGTATTTCTATATCAATACTTTTGAAAGTCTCATTGGCCGAGTGGTCGCAAGTGCGACTGCCGGGCAAGGGGTCTCGGGTTCGATTCCCGAGTCGGGCAAAGTATTACTGGGTTTAAAAAAAATCTCAGTAGTAGCATGGAGTCTGGAATCGTGCCCGGTATATGGCAATTGGCTCACCCCCTATTACATGGGACTCATAACATAAATTGTGAAAAGTGGGTGTTACATCGCAATGTGCACCTCTGCCTACCCCTTCGGGGATAAAAAGGCGTGATGTTTTGTTATGTTATGTTATGTTACTTTTGAATGTCCAGTATAAAAAAAATATCTCTTGCCATACCGTCCCGGTCTGTTAGGCCTATACGTATATCATATGACAATGTTAGTGATGCTAAAACTGGATTAATCCAGATTATACTTAGTACAGTCAGTATCAAAAGTTGATGATCACATTTAGACTTTCAAAATTGCTGTACAGTGTATTACTATACGGTCAACATGACAAGCGGTAGAAATAAGTAATTATCTTGTGTTGCATTTAAGATGTTTGTCATGTTCACCAATTTAGGTATAATACGGTGCCCGTCGTGGTGGCCCGGAAGTTTAAGACCCGCTTCTCATAACATGAGAGTGCGGATCGAAACCTACCAACGGCAAGTACCAATGTGACTTTTTCCGAGTTATATGTAATTTCTAAGATTATTTAGACACCGCTGACAAACGGTGAAGGAAAATATCGTGAGGAAACCTGGGCTTATAATTTCTGATTATAAGTTTGTAATCGCCAACCCGCATTGTGCAAGCGTGGTGATTGATGCTCAAACCTTCTCCCTGTGAGGCTGTTGATGATGATGATTATGACGGTGTACAGCGATTGTGAAAATTTTAATGTGTACATCAACTTTTGACGCTGATCGTACTTACAGATTATCAAAACTATGTGTACCTACGTCTCCTTGAGATTTGGTATCATGATTAGAAATGTATGGAGTCGTAAAGGAAGTCTAGTTCTTAGATAAGATATTCGTTTTATCCAGTTTTATCTTTATAGTGTAGGTCGTGTTTATTTTCGAAGTTAAAACTATCATTATCATAGTTTTGTTTTGGAGTAGGTACTATCGGTAAAGTTTACGATAGTACATTTTAAATCCTGTGTCAAACTCGATATCTGGGCGTGGTATTCCCTATGGTCACTCGCGTTGTGTGCACGCGATTATGAAAAAGTAAAAACTGTAAAAACGTCCTGCAGATACAGTATAATTGAATTTTAGAAAAGACAACGAGTACCTATGCTGTTTATTTCTATGACGTTCGTCATATAAATGAAGTATGTAGAACTGCAGTAGAAGTATTTCTAACACGTAAACATATTTTGTATATCTGACACATGGAGCTATCAAATTACTGAATACAAATTACGTAGACTTAATATCTAGAAATTCGTGACCTTGCGAGGTTCAATTCAAGTTAGTACTTGCAAGCAAGCAAATAATAAAAATATAGGTCAAGTTGTTAGACATCTGCTTAGTAACAATAATTGTACTTAGGTATCGTCATGAACTAATGTTCACATGTAAACAGCGGCTCATGTAAAGAGATTGTCCAGTCAACTGATGGTAGCGGTGACTGTCCAGGCGACACACGTACTTAGATATCGTCATGAGCTAATGTTCACATGTAAACAGCGGCTCATGTAAAGAGGTTGTTCAGTCAACTGATGGTAGCGGTGACTGTCCAGGCGACACACGTACTTAGGTATCGTCATGAGCTAATGTTCACATGTAAACAGCGGCTCATGTAAAGAGATTGTCCAGTCAACTGATGGTAGCGGTGACTGTCCAGGCGACACACGTACTTAGGTATCGTCGTGAGCTAATGTTCACATGTAAACAGCGGCTCATGTAAAGAGGTTGTTCAGTCAACTGATGGTAGCGGTGACTGTCCAGGCGACACACGTACTTAGGTATCGTCATGAACTAATGTTCACTTGTAAACAGCGGCTCATGTAAAGAGATTGTCCAGTCAACTGATGGTAGCGGTGACTGTCCAGGCGACACACGTACTTAGGTATCGTCATGAGCTAATGTTCACATGTAAACAGCGGCTCATGTAAAGAGATTGTCCAGTCTACTGATGGTAGCGGTGACTGTCCAGGAAACACTTCAATTCAAAATGACTATTAAGGGAACTCTCCTACATTTGGATTAGTCATAATAATAATTATGATGAATGTATTAAATATTTCATTTGAGATAACGAAACCTTTGCGTGTGTCAT